CGGTCTCAGACAGGTCCTTGCGGTAAAGCACCTCGTTACCAATGATGATACCCTTGAAGTAGTCGCAGCCATAGTCATCGAGAATGTCCCATGTTTGGGAAATCTGTCGCTCCGTTGTAGTGTCGTTCTTGTCGAGCCATACACCAAGCCATATCTTCATGGTGTCCTTGATCTCCAGTTGGTTGATGGCGTGGATAAGCATCTGTGTTTGGTTGCAGTCGGTTCCGTACAAGCGGACTGAGTTGGTCAGTTGCGACATGACGGCCAAGTCTCGGGTGATGTTGTTCTGCGATGGTCCGACGTGGAGACAGTCTGGGTACTGTGTGTTCAGAGGAGTGTAGTCCATGCCGGGAAACACCTTATGCAAATCGGCGTTGTTCATCAAAGCTTTGATCTCGGAAGAGTCCTTGCCGAGGTCCTCCTTGTTGTCTTTGGCGATATCGTCAGCAGATTGAGCAGACTTAGCAGCGCCGTCCTTTGCACCGCCACCCTTTCCGACAGTAGCACCGAGGACACCGCCCAGAATTGCACCTGCGAGGATGAGGGTGATGATGGCAATGGCGATCCACATGCGCTTCTTCCTCTTCTTCAAGTCGTCTTCTGCTTTCCAACTTGCAACCTTTTCTGGGACAAGCTCTCCACTTCCGTTGACCATGGGTACGGCGTCGTACTTGGTACCGTCGCGTGAGGCAGCAAAAGCACCAGCGCCTGCTGCGGCAGCAACGCCTCCGTTGTTTATCGATGACCCTGGCGAGCCATTGCGACTGCTGCCGTCCCGCGAGCCACCGAATGGCACGAAAGAGCGTCGCTTGTTCTGTGGAGAGTTGTGGTCTGGGCCCATTCCCCAGTCGTCATCGTTGTCGACATCGAGCGGGTTGATCTGACCCATCTGCGGCGCGAGGTTCTGGGCGGACGAAGAGTAGCGGTTGTAGGGCGTGTCGGCGTAGGGGACGCCGCTGTGCGGGGAGTGTGGCATGCTGTACATGGAGCTGTCACTCGAGTACATGCCGCCGACGAGTGGTGCGCCGGAACCGTAGGAGCGTTGCGAGTACATTGGGCGCGGAACCATGGGCTGGTCGTGGCCGTTGGGGTCATTGAAGGGTGATGACTGCGAGTTCCTGTTGGGGACGCCCATGGGCCGTCCTGGGCCAGCCATGCCTCGTGCAGCGTGGAGGCCGCTCTCGCGTGGGTGTGAGCCAGCGACGCCGCTGGCGATGCCGTTGATGCCGCCGCCCGGAGCCGTCTCGCCCATGTTGTCTGAGCCGGGGGTGACGCCTGGGGTCGAGTAGTCGGAGTAGTTATTGGGGTCGGTATACTGGCGCTGGGCGTGGAGGCCGACGGGAGTGCGATGGGCTGGCGGAGGCGGCGGATTGTCGTCGGACGGGAGGGCGTCGTGCTGCTGTCCTAATGGCCAGGCCTGGGGTTGCTGGAAAGCCATTGTGAGTGCTTGTTCGAGGTTTTGCTACACACCTCGCGTGCAGAGGCGAAAACAACCTGCGCGGGCAACGCTTGGTGGAGGTAGCGGACGGCGGCGCGCCGCTCTGCGGATCGAATGGAGGCGGACTGTCGCTGGGCCTGGCTAGTGTTTGCGGCGCGGAACACGGTTGGCTGGGTGGTTTGTTCTTCACGGCGTGGGACCTCGCAGGGATCCGGGCAGAACGAGCGGAAAAGATAATGCAGAGGCAGCGTTTCGCAGAGGCGCAGGCGCGGTCGCAGTGGTGGAGAGAAAGTCGGAGTCGTGCAGTGGCCGAGATGATGCAGGTGTGTTAGGCGGGTAACACGGCGCTGGCACGACAGAGGCTGACGGCTGCGACTGCGCGATGCGCTAGCCCGCTAATTCACCCAGGAAACCACCACGGAACCCACTGTGACGTCTCCGCCAATGCACCAGCCCCAAACACACTCAACAGGTTTTGCGACAAGATAACGCCTATACCGACTGCCCGCCTTTTCCCCCCGACAATGGCCCTTCTGGCGCCTACGCCGGTCTCGTTCATATCACGATCTCCCTCGTGCCTGCCTCTTCCTGCGCTGTGTTCCCTCGCGCCTGCCTGTGCGCCCAATGCAGGCAAGAGCGATATGCCCTCAACCAGAACAAGCAGTTGCAGTGAGGCCTTGGCGCCGCCTCGGGAAGCCCCATCCACAACGGCAAGTGCAAGGGTGGAGCCAGAGGCAATTTCCCATATCAGTTGCACCTTTCACGTTTATTGCCGCGAAGCCTGTCTGGTATCCTCCCTTTGATCCCCTGCTCATCCTGCACGCCTTGCATCTCGTCTGCTGTCGACTCCGCTGCCTGCAACTGCCATGGACGTCTTGTCCGCGTTCCTTCCACGTTCTATTCCTAGCTCCTCGTGTCAGCCGCTACCGCAAACGGCTCCACCGTGGAATCTGGAGCGACCTACTTTAACCCATTTAGTCTGCATTCAACACTGCATAGCCTCAAAGTCGCCTTCGTCTTTTCAACTTTTTCACGCATTCCCACCTGCTCATTCGAAGTCGTGTCTCAGCCTGGGCATGCGCGACATCCAACGCCCTTGTAGCGATCTGACCGCCGTGGTGAAACACAAACACCAGATCAAGATCGCCATCGGTCCCCGGCTGATAAGACATGTTGTGCTCACCACTCGCTCCTACCCCGCGCCATTGAGCGAATCTAATCCCGCCGTGCGTTCGGCGCCGCGTCAGCGTCAAGTCATCCTACCAGACTTTAGCAGCCTCGACCTCTCTGGCTCGACTGTCAACACGCGCAGCCTCCCAGCCTCCCGTCTGCTGCATACCTCATGTACCACGTCACGTTTCTGCAGTCACAGTATTGGCCTGCATGCACCACGCCGCGCAATACATTCTAGCACGTTCTCATGTCCATGTTAACCATATGTCACCGACTGCAGCAAGCCAAGCTTCAGTGGTAAGCCGGACCATGTTTCACATTGCCCACACAGGCAACTAGGGCGATTCACCCCGATAAATTTAACGTCTGTCCACGACTTTTCACGTTCAAAGTCTGACATCGACACTTGTGAACGCATATTTCCATCATCCGTTTGACCTGCATGTGCTAGAAGATCGCCACGCTTCCATTTCTCGGTCCAGAGATCAGGGTAGTGTTCGCGCTCTATCTTATCTTTATCCGTTCGTCTGCGATTCCCGCATTGTCTTTTACAACCCGTACAAGCATGGTTGAGTATGCTATGGTGTGAGGAGCTGGTCCGATGATCAATATCTACTCACAAACGTATCTATGTAACGGCACAGATATGGCGCAAATACTACCTCACACGTGAACAGCTCCAAATAGCCAATACTCCTCAGAGTTGGAGCAAGGCAAACTACATGTCTCGGCGCAATCAACCTCCGATTGTCTCTACACGGCACGATATTATTGGAAGGCACCTGGGAGAATGGACGCCTTGTCGAGTCTAAGCCCAGAAGGTGTATCGCTTGGCGCATGATTTTCCTAATTCAGACATCTCCACTATCAAAACGAGTACATGCCTTGATGAAAAAACGGGAAGAGGAATATCGAGCAACGTTTGTGTATATATATTTTTCTCCTTGCAACTCAGCCAACTTCTTCATCTCAATTTCCCAAATATCCCATTTCGCAGTATCTTCTGAACCAATGCCACCCCACTCAACAATCCACGCCACCATCGCCAGTCTAACCACCGGCCCCCCTCTCGTCATCGCTATCATAGGCGGAACCTCAGGCATCGGATCCTACATCGCCAAAGCCTTCGCCTCCGTTTACCGCAACTCAAATTCCAAACTACGCATCTACATCGTCGGCCGCAACGCCTCGCGCGCAGAAGCTCTGCTTGCAGAAGTGCGCGCCACAAGCCCAGATTCAGAATGGCGATTCATACAAGCCCATGACCTGGCGCTGATGAGCGATGTCGACACCATATGTGCGCAAATCAAGAAGTATGAAGAAGAGCAGCCATTGAACGGGGGAGAACCGCGGATAGACATGCTATACATGACCCAAGCAGAGTCACCACTTGCGCCATCACCGCGTAAGTATTTTCCATCTGCACTCGCTTCCAGCAAGAAGTGAGGCGTAACAACCACCCTCCCAATCACCCCAACTAACCAACCTCACCAGCAACAAAAGAAGGCCTCGATACCCAAGTCTCCCTCCTATACTACTCCCGCATCCGCTTCATCCTCGCCCTTACACCCCTTCTTCTGCGCTCTCAAGACCCAAGCGGCGCCCACGTCATCTCCGTCTTCGCAGGCACAATCGAAGACTCCATCTCCCCGTCTGCCCTACCAATCGGCCCACCAGCGCCGGCAAAGCACGGCGTCACATCGGTCCGCACGCACGTCGCTTTCATGAAGACCTTCATGTTCGAGGCCCTAGCCGAAGAACACGCTGGCAAAATCGCTTTCATACACATTTATCCGGGGTTGGTTGACGGTCCAACGTTCCTTAGTAAAGTGAATCCACTGTGGTTTCGCGTGCTGTGGCGCATAGCTAAGTTGTTGATGGCATGGTACATGACGAGTCCAAGGGTTTGTGGTGAGATCATGGTGTTTCTGGGTACGGGCAGGTATCCCGCGAGGGGCGCGAGCGTGGTGCTCAAAGAGGGCGAGGAAGGGAAGACGGTGGCTGATGTGGCGTTTAGTAGTACACGGGAGAGGGGAGGAGGTGCATATACGGTGGGTCAGAGGGGTGATGAGAAAAAGCAAGTTAGTTATGCCAAGCTGAGGCAGAGTGACACGAGGGACAGGGTTTGGAAACATACCATGGGTGTGTTGGGGAGTGTTCCGGGATTGAGTGAGTAAGTTGTGAGGAGGAAGGGGGCTTGTATATGATGAAACGTCATCCATGCATTATTTGGAAAAGAAACGTGGAGATATCAGACTGATAGATGAAGATCGTATTTTGTATCTTGCACCCCCTCACACAGGGAACAAGCGTATTTATAACGACCACATTCATGTACAACTCCTCCAGCGGAGCACATTTGCACAGCTCAGAAAATGCATTGCAGTCATCACTGCCAGAGGTGGTCGCAATTCCAGTCTTGCACCACGCCACCACCGAAAGCAGCGTGGAGACTAAACATATCAGTATGGCAATCGGCAAACTCCGCGGCGAGCCCAGCAAAGTCGCTGAGGTATTGCTCGGCAGTCTCTCCACGGACTCCTGGCCCATGAGTTGCTGGAAGCGGGTTGGGTGTTTGCTTCGAGCTGACAGGCCATGCAGGCTCAATTTTCGGAGGATGGCGTATTGAGGACGATTTCGTGCGCTTAGCTAGTGACTCGGCGTCGTCTCGTTCATGCTGATGACCGCTGGCGGTAAGCTTGGGTGGTAACAGCTGCTCCATGCAAGCAGCCATTATTCCCCTGGTGGTAGAATGGAGCTCGTAAAGTCGTCCCGGGGATGATTCGGGTAGCTGTACGCATTTGAGCGCCAGCGACAGGAAAATGATGTCCTTGAGATCATCTGCTTTGCCACGACCCAATCTCGCGATGAGGTAGTTGATGGTCTGCTCTACCTTGGCGATGAGTATGTGTTCGTTGTGCCCGGACATTCGTTGCTCTAGATACTGGCCATTCGAGCTGGCCTGACGGAGATGTTTGATGCGTTGGCATACTGTGAGAGCAGACCACAAAGTGTCTTTTTTGCACAACCAGAAGTAAAGATCCTCCTGTGACGGTGATGTATCTTCAAGTGCTTGAGGGTAATAGAAGTTTGAATAAGAGAGTATGGCCACCGATGAATCGACACATTGTAGCCAGGCCTCTGCGACTTCTTGCTATCAAGTTGTTAGCACAAACGTTACTCTAGGGGAAGATAGGAGACTTCGAATTCTTGAAAGAATGTTAGACGAGTTTTGTGTCTAGGATTTATCGCCTGCGTCATAACTGAGGAAATACGTACTGATTATAGGTCAGCTAGACATCTTATCAATTATCCGCGGTGGCTGATTTACCTTGATATTCCTGATAGTCGAAGAGGAGTGGTCTGTATAAGCATAATAGCGATCGTCGAAGATAAAAGTCTAGGAGAATGCGATGCAGAAATCCACCACGATCGCCGGTTGCTGGCTGGCTGTGTTGCAGGCTGAGAGTCAATGGTAGAGAGCACCAGGATCTTTGTATCTCACGCCCTATCTCAATCGCCTCGTTGACATCGGGGATCGAGCGCTGTACAAGCGAGGAAGCCCTGATTCGATGTGGAAGAGACATAGCAAGATGTATCTGGTAGAGGTTGTCTGTCAGATCGCAAAGAGGGCGGGGAGGAGGTAGCTTCGATGAAGACTCGTCAAAGTCCTCGTCATACAGATTTGCCGGTACCGGACAGTAAGATCCGAGCTCTGGGACTATCAAGGGCATACCCGTCATGATAGATACTTGTACTTCCGTTTCCAAAACAGACGCCCATAGCCGCTTCCGCATCTCCATCTGGTACGGCGAAAGATGCTTTATCTTCGCAGGATCAATGTGCAAACCCATGGTCATAGCTGACCGCATTATGGCACCGCTGCGGCTCCAAATTCTATCTGGGTCGGAGTGGCTAACGCTACCAGACAGTAGCACAAGTAATTCGACTTGAAGAGTTGATAGCTCCGTTCGCTGCTTTCGTCCAAGTTCCCCGAGCCATACCTGGATGTGGTTGATAGCTGCACCCCGCAAATAGGCTCTGTAATCGTCTGCTTCATTGGTTCTAGCCGTATCGTCGAGCAAGTAAGCCCTGGTCATAACGCTCGTGAGCAGTGCGAGGATGCTGGATGTAGAATCAAGCCCAGATCCGCTGTCAAGCCACAGTCTTTCATACTGACGCATGAAAGTGGGACGGTGCAGAACGCGCATGGTACGCTCAAAATACTGGAAATATATGGTAACCAGCTTGTCACAGTACGGCTTTGGTGGTAGGGACTCCCATAGCTTTAGTAACGATGGCGAACATCCAGAGTCATGCTTGCGCTCAGGCGGCCGAATTGGATCTCCTTTTGATTTGCTTTGAAGAAATTTAACTTTCTTTGCAGACGCCATCAACTGCTCATCACTAGCCATCTTGTTGAGGAAGTCCTTGACATCGAGGAACTGTGTTCCGTCAGTATCATGTTCCACAGATGGTTATCAATCCTCTTGCCTGATTAAGGAGCGTAGTTTTATCATTCTGCCCAAAATACCGTGATCTACCTCCTTCAGCCACGACTGTGCCAACGAGAGGCAAGTCTGCTGTCGGTGTTGACTGATCGACCTCTGCTTTCATTGGATGTTCGCGCGCACGTTCAAAGCAATACATGTCGACATCTGGTAAGGCTTAATGCCAGGTAAGATAGCAAATCCTACTGGCACGGGCCAAAGAATTGTTAATGCGCCGTCTGGCAAAGGATGTGAAGGATGCTCTGTGTCTACCGACTCTGGATGTAATTGCCGCATTGGAGTTTGCGGCTAAAGACATGTGAGGGATCCATGGATGCGCGGACGGGTCTTTCCTCAAACTGCAAGCAAGGCGGCAAGCTAATGCACGTCCGCGGCGTAGTCGAGGTGTCCACTAACCCCTGACAGGGACGGCACTTAAGCGTTGTCGAGTGCCATGAAGACCCAAAGACACTCTCGAGTTATCTATCTAAAGGTGGCTAGGTAGCTTTATGGTCGTGTAAGAGGGAGGATAGTAGTGACGAAGATATGCTAAAGGCCTATGGTGCACCTGAATAGAGGTGCTGGAAGGGTTAGCTAACGTAACCTAGCGAAAGGCCTGTCATAGCATGCATGCCGTGATGGGACCACGAATCGAGGCACGTGACACTATATCAGCAATTGGCACGTGAAGCTCGTCGGTCGCACCGACTGTCGCGTGTGTTTATGTTGAGATTCGAGTGTGGTGAAGGAGTCTGGAAGGCGGTGGTGACGTCTAGCTTGATTCGCCTAGAACCCCACACCGAAGGTCCCTGAGAGCAACGGCGAGATTTGCCCGCCATAACAACACGTAGCTTCCCAATCCGCAAGTAGCAATTGGCATACATTCCACACATCAATTGCGTCTCCCATAACCACCCATTGGAATATTGACCCCATTTTGGCATCTCCTGCAGGTAAGTGCCAGGGAACAGCTGCGAGGCCCCACCTGCATCTGAAGCTCTCTGGACACAGTAGCTAACAGCTCCCCTCGCGTTCTGCAGCTATCCGACGTCCATCATGAGCAACCTCTTCGAAGCCAAAGTCAAGAGCGTCCTTTCCGGCGACACCGTCGTTCTCCACAATATCAACAACCCAAAAGCAGAGCGCACACTGAGCTTAGCCTTTGTCACCGCGCCGAGACTGCGACGAGAGGGCGACGAGCCCTTTGCCTTCGAGTCACGCGACTACCTCCGCCGTCTGCTGGTGGGCAAGGTCGTCCGGTTCCAAGTCCTCTACAAGATCCCGACGGGCGCGAACCGCGAATATGGCCTCATCGTCACACCGAACAAGGAGATATTGCCGCAACAAGCCGTCGCGGCGGGCTGGGTGAAGCTGCGCGACGACGCCGGCCGCAAGGAAGATTCGGATGAGGCTGCCAACCTACTCGAACGACTGCAAGTAGACGAGGCGCGCGCTAGGGCAGACTCCAAGGGCCTCTGGGCGGAGACTGGCGGCAGGATCAACTCGTCGTCAGAGCTGAGTGACGCGACCAAGTTCGTGGAGCAGAACAAGGGCAAGGACATTGATTCGATTGTCGAGAAGGTCCTGTCCGGCGACCGCCTCATCGTGCGATTCCTCCTGTCGCCCACCGAGCACGTACAAACAATGGTCCTCCTCGCCGGTGTCCGCGCCCCCGCAACACAGCGAACAAATCCTTCCGACGGGAAGGTGCAGCCAGCCGAGCCGTTCGGCGACGACGCTCAACAATTTGTCGAGACAAGGCTGTTACAGCGAGGAGTCCTCGTCGAGGTTCTGGGAACAACACCGAACGGCCAAATCGTCGCAGATGTCAAGCATCCCACCCAGGGCAGCATCACACCTTTCCTGCTCAAGAACGGCTTGGCCAAATGTACCGACCACCACACCACCCTCCTCGGCCAGAAGATGGGCATACTTAGGGGCGCTGAGAAGCAAGCAAAGGACGGCCGTCTGGGTGTATACAAGGAGCACGTTGCGCCCAAGATCAGCAAGGCTGGAGAGCAAGAAGCCACCGTTAGCCGTGTCCAGAGCGCAGACACCATTTTCATCCGGAACAAGGCGGGCGCGGAGAAGCGCATCAACCTCAGCAGCGTCCGTCAACCCAAGCCTACCGATCCCAAGCAATCGCCATGGGTAGCGGAGGCCAAGGAGTTCTTGCGCAAGAAGCTCATCGGCAAGCACGTCAAGTTCCACGTAGACGGAAAGCGACCCGCGACCGAGGGCTACGATGAGCGCGAAATGTGCACCGTCACCTTCCAGGGCAAGAACGTTGGTTTGATGCTTGTAGAGAGCGGCATGGCATCCGTCATCCGCCACCGACAAGACGATGCCGACAGGAGCCCCATCTACGACGATCTTCTGCTGGCCGAGTCCACCGCACAAGCTGAGAAGAAGGGTCTCTGGTCAGACAAGTCGCCCTCTGTCAAGCAGTACGTCGACTACTCGGAGTCGCTCGAGAAGGCCAAGCGCCAACTCACTCTGCTTTCGCGCCAACGTAAGGTACCAGCCATTGTCGATTTCGTCAAGTCTGGCTCGCGCTTCACTGTACTAGTACCTCGCGAAAACGCCAAGCTCACCTTCGTCCTCTCCGGTATCCGCGCACCTCGATCGGCGAGAAACGATAGCGAAAAGGGCGAACCTTTCGGCAAGGAGGCCCATGAATTTGCGAATCGCCGCTGCCAACAGCGAGACGTCGAGATCGATGTCGAGGACTGTGACAAGGTCGGTGGCTTCATTGGCACTCTGTACATTAACCGTGAGAACTTTGCGAAGACACTGGTGGAGGAAGGTCTAGCTACTGTACATGCCTACTCAGCAGAGAAGTCTGGAAACGCAAACGAACTATTCGCAGCCGAGCAGAAAGCCAAGGACGCACGAAAGAATCTGTGGCAAGACTACGACCCGTCTCAAGAAGAAGAGGACGGCGAGGCAGCGGTAGCTACCGAAGCTACCAACGGTGACGCCGCATCATCAAGAAAGGCAGACTACCGCGATGTTATGATCACCCACGTCGAAGATGACGGAAGGCTTCGTCTCCAACAGATCGGTAGCGGTACATCAGCGCTGACATCACTCATGAGCGCCTTCAGCAAGTTCCACCTCAACCCTGCAAACAGCAGTGGCCTGCCAGACGCGCCCAAGGCGGGCGAGTTTGTAGCAGCCAAGTTCACTGCCGATGACCAGTGGTACCGTGCGCGCATTCGACGCAACGACCGAGAGAACAAGAAGGCCGAGGTTGTCTACATCGACTACGGTAACTCAGAGACAATCCCATGGTCTCGCCTTCGCCCTCTCTCACAAGCCGAGTTCCTGCCATCGAAGCTGAAGCCACAGGCTGTAGAGGCCCAACTGGCGTTCATCCAACTCCCTGGTAACTCTGAGTACCTCGCCGATGCCGTCAGCTTCATCTCGCAAGAGACGGCTGATCGTGAGCTCGTCGCAAGAGTCGAGGCCGCGGAGAAGGACGGCATGCTTTGGGTGACACTGTACAACCCGGACCAGAGCAAGGACGGCACTGAAAGCATCAACGCCGACATTCTTAGCGAAGGTCTTGCGATGGTACCCAAGAAGCTGCGCCCGTGGGAGCGCTCGGCCAACGTGCTGGCTGCCATGAAGAAGAAGCAGGACGTGGCCAAGGAGGAGCGCCGCGGTCAGTGGGAGTATGGTGATCTCACTGAGGACTAAGCCTGTACATAGTTTTACGGTTGCATAGCAAGGAAAATAGCGGCACCGAGTGCGAATACTGTACAATAAAAGCATGTATTACGATTTGCACATAAGCAACACTCTTACATTCACATGTGCTACCAAATAATGCCTCGTGATGGAGGGCTGGCACCGAAGCTGCGAAGACGGCCAGGTGGAGGCTTAGGCGGAGATGACGACGAGGTGATTGGCGGCTTCGGCCATCCCCCACCCATCCACGGCAGCGCGCTGAGGCGGTGCCTGTAGGCAACCACCAAAATGCACCCCAGTCACGCTGAACACGGGTCTTGCGCCATGACGGCTACCTTCCAGGCAGGCGCATTGCAGACATCCTTCATGACTTCGTACACGCGCACTTAACACCCCCTCATCCTCGCTCGTCGCGCGTCAGAACACCCGTTGCGACACGTCCGAAGCAGTCGCGGCCATGGAGACCATCAGTCGACTACCCCGACGCCTGACACAGCTCTACTCCGACACCAAGACCACATGCGATGCCGTCGTCGAGCAGGATGCCAAAGACACGCCCGAGTCGCACGCACTGCATCGCAAGTTCAGGATACAGAAGGACCGGCTGATAACATGGGGCGTGGACTGGAGCGACAACTCCAAGGGGAAGCAGGGCGACATCGACGAAAGCGTGGAGGAGGCAGGCATGACGGAGACGGTCACAAGCGTGCTCGGAACCATCAAGGAAATCCTCGACGAGGCGGAGCAGATGCACCCGGGCACGTCTGCTGCGGGTGGGGGAAAGACAATGTCTGGAGAGAAGAGCCGGCCTGACCTTCCCTCGTGGGCGGCCGCCGACAGGTCACGTTACGAGGACCTCATCAAGGACCTCACCACCTCTATCGACATACTCTATGACCTCTCACGGAACCGCAGAGTTCAAAGAAGCAATGAGCGTGGTATTAGTCCAGGAAAAGCTACACCGCATCACAGCACATCGACTCCCGTCTTCTTGTCGCCTGACTACAACGCCTCCGACCTGACGCTGGTCAATCCTGCTACCTTCCCTCTGAATGCACATACCCCCAGATCTCATCTTCCACCCAAGCTAGATCCTGCAGATCTAATCCTCCCCGACGAGGAACCTCCGCCATACGAGAGCGTTGGAACTACTTCTGTTCGCGTCATCGGCCGCCTGCGGTCTCGCCACAGTTCCACCAACCCCTGGAAGACGGATGGCAGCAGGAACATAGAGACTTGCGTTTTGATCGACTACGCGTGCTACGACCCCGCCTACCGTCTCACTGGCGTGTCCCCATCCACCCAGCGCCTCGAGAGCCTTCTGTCAATACTGACAAAGCTGTCCAACAACCAGTCCTTCCACGGCACCCTTAAGTGCCTGGGCTATTTCGAAGATCCAAAGCAGCCGCGCTTTGGCCTGGTCTTCGAGTTGCC